GTAATTGTTGAAAAAACCTTTAAAAAATTCAAACATAGTTTACGACAGCTCTTAGTTTGCTTAAATGTATTTTAGATAATGATCATGCAATGTTTTGAATAATTATGCAGTTATAACTGTTATTAGGTATATGAGTAGTTAAAGGGGTGGAGTTAGCACAGAGCTTCCCTAGTTAACATGATATTCCAGATTATGATTTTTATATTCAGTTGGTAATGATTTCTATAACAAAAATGAAGCAATATCTGTCAACGGATGCTATGGATTAACAAAAGTTGGAGAACTGTTGAAAACTAGAAAATTTTGAACAGTTGTTAAGACCTATTTTGAAACATCATTCAACCAAATAATAACTGTGAGTTCAACAATTACATGTTTTGAAGACGGACTCTGGAAGCTTTAGTGGAAGTTCGTGACAGATGAAGGCTAACCATGACAAATGTAAGTCAATAGGCACTGAGAGAATTCGATGATTATCGCGATATGTTAGGAATAGTTTGAACTCGAAAATGATGACTAGCAGATTACAATTCAGAAGTTAAAGTAAATTGTGTTTACATTGAAACTCGATTTTCTTTGTGTTTGATGCTATAAGAGAATTTTGAGTGCGCATTACTAGGAATCATAAAATTCGAACTAAATAACTGCCCAAACAAATCGCTAAATTCTTCATCTTTACGGAATTACTTCTATTAACTCTATGCAACAAATGGTGTCAATTATATCCTTTTGTTTTGCCGTGCTTCTTCAGTTAAAATTAAGGATTTTTTCCGAACCTAATAACATATGGAGTATATTTTCTTACAGATTGCTGATGTAAGCACATCTCATTAGTGTCATTTGGTTTCATATTTCAAAAGTCGATGACCGGTAGGTAATATTAATAAGCTATTAGTACATACTACTGATATTTTGTCTTTTGAACTATAATTTAGAACGAAATAAGAAGGTACAGCTTGGAAGCATGAAATAGGTTTTGATAATGTTGTCCAAAACGACAATAAAAGTTTAAAAATCAAACCATCTAACTCAGAGAACTCGACAATACCAAATGTCTGAATGTCAAAACAATTCTTAACTGAATACATAAATGACTAACCTTTTATAATTCATTTACAATAAGTTTAGATAAGAATTAAACCAACCAGTAAAGTTTCTTAAGACTAAGTTGTTCAGTAAGTGGGAGTTATGCAGATTATGTAATGCGAAATTCTTGGACGGATTAAACTATACTAATTCTATGGTAATGAAAACTTTTTATTATTGAGATAAGGATTAAACACGAATTCTCTAATCCTTGTTATTTGATTCCGACTTTCGTGATATTAAATAAAGATCATTACTTTGGTTCACAGTATATATATATATATATATATATATATATATATATATATATATATATATATATATATATATATATATATATATATATATATATATATATATAATTTATTGGAGCTGTTCACAGCCAAATTTTACAAATCCGGGATTAACATTTAACACAAGTAAGTTTTTGACCATGCTCTTAGTAATGTTTACGCAGAAATCAATATAAACTATGAATGTCTTAGCTTGAATGGAGAATACAATAGAATTAAGATCTATTAATTGGAGAAAGTGTTTAAAATATTTTTTTATTTCATAGTGAGAAAGATATAATCATACAGAAATTAACGATGAAATTACTCTACATTATTTCTTTGTCAAATAAAAAAGAAATCTCCAGCAAAAAAACAACTATTCTGGTCAGTTACCTGGTTCGACTTGAAATACTTAGAGTCGAATAACATTTTTATTATTTGAAAAACCTTAAGTGCAACAACAGACATTAGGTAGATTAACATCTTCACAAATCTTTCAATTCCAAATTAAACCATGTTTTATTTGATCAATAGAGGAAATAAACTGGGAGTCATTTAGAAACTTGGAATTGTATTTTATCTTTTCATCTATGTAATCAAAAGAAGTAAAAATAAACACAATTCCGGTTAATGGATTACTGACCTTAAATATCGATTTTTATCTAAACTACTTCCTTCAATGTTTTTATTGTATATTTCCAATGAGATAATATCGCATGCGACAAAAGAAACACTTTGAAAATTTTTACCAACGAATATTACATAACTCAATTGCTTAATCTATAAATTAAAAGGGTAGTTCCAATACTTAGTCTAAAACAAAGATCATAGGTATATTTGTTATGTTTATATCCAGTTTTTAGTAAACATTATGCCGTTTAAATTTATGTAGTTTTTTAAACTATTCATAAACTGTAAATTAAAATTTAAGATGAATAATGTACAGTAAGTTATTGTTTTCATTTATCAGTAATAATCCCCTTGAGATTTAAAGCTTGTGAATGAATCATTCTGATAGGTAGAGTTAAATGAGTAATGTTACACTTTTAGACCGACATCTATAGGTTGTTTATTTGTTTTAATTCGTATGTGATCGTTTTACAATGTTGAAGTTCGATACTTTTGTTTTAAAATGATAAAACTATATCATATGTCTAACTTAAGGAATTCAGATTCTTTTTGTCTAAAATAGTTAAAAACATTATGAAGATGTGTTTGAGCATTAATTAGGTGTAATTTTGTGGAGATAGGCAAGACAAAATTATTTTGTAAATAGTTTTTGATATTATTTGATTTTGTTAATTTTTACAGTCTGTACATTTACCACAAAATGATTGTACATGTTGTTTAAGTGTATGATCTTGAACAACATTCTTCCGTTGTGTAACACTTTGAATGACACACGTTGTTAACCGCTCGTAAATACACTACTATACACACGTCTCTTGTTATTCGTTCCCTGTAGCTACAATAACTGAACTCTGAAACATCTATCATCTACATTTATAGACTGCGGCTACATTTCCATTATATTCTATGCTTGGCTATATTACTAGAACTACAACAACCTCATTGGAATTATCTGTAATTGTGGATTCTGGTACCAAACGCAATCGAAAACGCACAAATCTGCTGATATAAGTAACGTCCCTTAACTTTTATTTGTTTGTAACTTATAATTTGCATACTATAATATTAACATCTGGACGTAATAACTTTATTGCTATTTTTGAGTTAATACGTTTTTGGTCCACCACAATTTTTAGAATGAATTTACCTATACACATGGTATTGTTTACTTGAATTTTCCCATTGATGTTCAGGATTCCAATTAATCCGTCTCTTATTGACATATGTGCATACTGTGCGTATTGCCTCGATATTGCCGTAATTCACAAGCATTATAAGCAAAGATGGTTAGTGGCTAGCAGTGGAATCCAGAACGCGAGTTCCGTCCTATTCGGGACTCGTCAGCTTATAGTGCTTGTGAATTAAGGCAATATCGAGGCAATACGCATAGTATGCACATATGCGAATAAGAGAAGGATCAAGTGCAGTCCCAGACATCACTAGGAAGACTCAAGTAAACAATACCAAGTGAATTTCAACTTCACCCCATTGAACAAGCAAGTGTATATCAGGACTCAGTAGCTGAATGGATAACGTGATGGCGTTTGAAGTGGATGGTACTGGGTTCTAGTCTCAGAGTGAACATCAACTCTAAGATGCAGGTAAATCCAGCTGGCGAATACCGAATAGGATGAAACGCGTATCGCCGACATCACTGCTAGACACTATCTATCTTTGCTTATAGTTTACTTATACTTATTAAAATCTTGCACGTATTCACATAGGACTTTAATAAATGATTGACATTGAAATTAATTCAAATCACTTCATTAGGTGTTGATAAAAATCTATAGTTGAAACAGTCTCAGCGACTGAAATTTATATAATTCCATCGTTTTTTCCAGCAAATTTGTCTGGTCTTATTAAAGGATATCTTTGATAATTTTGATTCTGATTATTTCGCTGAGGAACTCCAGACCAGTTTACTGGACGAAACGTTGGGGTTATTTAAATATTTCGGTAAAAATAGGAGTACGTTGACAAGTTATTGAAGAAAAAAGATACTAGCGTTTATGAGCATATATCGGGTTTAAAAAAACTGGAAATTAGAGATGATCTATTTGTTAGCCATGATATCGATTTACGGTTGTTCGTCTGAAAAAAAAATTGGGAAGGATTAATTTACTAAATTTGTTACAGAAACATTCTGCGATGCAATTTTCTTTATAAGCTTGTAAACGGAAGATAAAGAAAAAGTTTCCTTATTGATCAACTTCTGTTGGGAAAGTTTCAAGAAAACAGAGTTCAATAAAATGTATTTTTTCTCAGTTTTTGACTTCTCAGCAGTCCTCTTAATGATCTTTTCCGAGACGAAATAGCGGCTCAGTACACTATAGTTTATAATTGCTTTTCAGTTGACCCCAATCGATGACAATAAGTTATCCCAAAGTTTAATTAACGTCCGCAGATAACAAACTAAGTTGTTCTACTTAAATCATGAACTGGTGAAAGTTAGATAACCACCAAAACACCCGGAAGCACTGGAAGGTCGTTTCTTCAGAGTATATGACTCTTCAGAAGTGAACAGTCCTGACCCCGTACTTTGAAATCCAACCCAGAACCTTCGATCAACTTTCAAATCACTTCAGTGGCCCTGGAATATCTGACTTCAATTCGATCATGTGATTGTCGTTATCGTCTTAAACATGTCGCCGATCTTTGCATATAATTATTGACTTAACTCACGTTAGCGAATAAGGGAATTAAAGAAGTTAAATATAAGCTTAGCAAATGAAAACTTTGCAAAATATTCTTTTTCTATGCATAAACAGTTGTAACATAAAACTTAGATATTATGTTATTCAATTCAAAGTTAACTTCAAAACTTTCACTCAGTTTTAATTTATCTAACTAGACTTCTATTCCATTATTTGTTATCTTTATTTTAAAATCAAAGAACCAATTTATGAACACAATGTACTAAACCAGCACAGATATAGTGGTGGTCAATGAATATTATGAGAAATAAGCCCAGATTTTAAGACATGAATCTAGAATACATAAATAATTCGTTCATTCATTCATTCATTTTTTTTAAATATTCAGCATAAAAGCTTACAATGTACTGTACATAACAAAAATAACATAAGAAAAGATCCTTATTTAAATAAATATTCATCCTTTTTGTGAAGAGAAATATGTAGACTGGTTATATAAGCGTAGTTACAGAAAAAAAACATTGATTTATGTTGGGATTGAGACATTGAATGAAGGTATGATATACATGTATTTGTGTCTATATTATGTAGTATGATCTTATTCATGTTTATAAATAAAAGCTACTAATGATATAAATACTCATAATTTGGTAAAAAATAATAACAACCTTTTAATATGGTAACCTATTTTTATGATGAGAAGATAAACAACAACACCGAAAAAATATATATATATCTATACAAAAAAGAAAGTAAGAACCATCTTTAAAAATATTAAAAAAAACAAATAATGAATAAATGGAAATGGGAATACCTGATATCTAAGATCACTTATTGCATATACAAGTATAGTGTGCTTTTTCTTAAGTTACTTTATTATTATTATTATTATGGCTCTGAATGTGTTATAATTGAGTGATTAGTTGGAGAGTTCGAATTATTTGCGGCAAGAAACCGATGAGCTGTCTCTTCATATACTTCATTTTCATTACCACGATAAACTCCAACTTCATAGGCAACTACAGTTGCATGATCTAATTTACCAGGCATACGTCTAAGCATATCATTAAACCATTTTCTTTGTGAATCAGTTGAATAAGTATTATCAAAGTGTTTATTATTATTATTGTTATTATTATTATTATCATTATTGTTTTGTACTACATTTTGATTTTGTCTTAAATGTGCATAATCCGGATTCTCTAACCATTCACGTCGTTTTGTTGTAATTCTGTATGCATGATTAATTAGTGCTTCGCATAAATCTTTGGAACTAAAAGTGCCTTTTTTACTACTAGCATTCTCTGTACTAATATCTAATTCATGCCACACACGTTCTAATTCTTTCGCTGCATATTTTCTACGTTCATACCAGTTTAATTCAAGTTGATTGGTGAAGTTAATTTGATGTGCATAAATTGTCTCAGTTTCATCGTTATCATTAGTATTATTGTTATTATTATTACTGTTAGTAGTATTTATATTTGTAACGGGTGTATAAGTTAATTTTGTTGGATCACTTGGTGGGGGTGGGGGGGGTGGCCAAATATTTACTCGAGGTGGTGGGGTTAAAGGAGAATTATGTAGCAATGATTTGGATGGGCGAGATAATGGTGAAGTTGGCGATTTATTAAAATTACACCTTAAAGAATCTGAAGATAAAGATGAAGTACTTTTGACAGAATTTTTGTTGTTATTGTTTACTTCATGAATACCTATATCATCGATGGATGAGCTTTCCTCCTCACCACCTTGTCCTTCGTGTTCATCATCTTCATCAACAAAATCTAAATGCGGTGATTCAGGAACAGCTAGTTGTGTAATAACTGGATCGAAATTGTCGATTAGTCCATCTGATCCAAGCAGAACTATATCACCTGGATCACAAAGTGTTACTGAAATAAAATCAAGCAATAAAACGATATTTTTAGAGTGCTAATAAACATTTGACAAATTACTATTTTTTAGATTGGAATATCATATTACGTTCAGTTATGTCTTTCTCGAAAACTTAATTTATACAGTTAAAGAAGTAGCTACCACTGTGTATAAAAAGTGAACTTTAATCCCACTAGAAAAATATAATTGCATGAAATATGTATTTATGAAAATAAGTCACATTTTCGTTTCTAATCATGTTATTCTTCGCAACCTTAAGCAGTTTGCATCTGATGATAAACCTTGAAATAGAATGACCAATTCAATTTATCCTTCAAACCTTGTTTCACTTTACTTTCATTCTACTTCAAATTTCTCAAAGGATCAAGTATATTTTCATAGTACTGAATAGAGTTTTAAAAAAATGGATACGATAAGGATAAGTAAAACCAACCATTAAGTAAAAATCAAGAGTATGACAATTATAATTTATTCCAGAAGTGACAAAATTTTATAAAATCCCTATTTTTTATTAAGATACTTGTATTTTCCCAAAAAAGAAATCTCACTATTTTTTCAGACCACTGAACTGGTTTAGTGCCTAATCTGAATAAAATTCAATAATATTCGCATATCCTCAATGATAATTTTAGTGCTGCGAGATAGAGAAATAAAAAGTTTTTAATACTACATATTTTACTTGGAATTATAACAGGAAATCAATCATTGATTAGAAACATTTCATATATTCTACGGTATATTAGAAATGAAAGACAAAAACACACGATCTAACTACTTTATGAATAGTAATGATTAAAATATTTATTAACAGTAAACGCTAAAGAAATATGTTAGATGGTTGTTTTCTTGATACTTGAGCGTATAACTAGAACTCCAGAACCCTTCCAAGTCGCAATGAGAAGACAGAAGACTAGTGAAAGGAACATTGTTCCAGACAGTGTCGATTATGGTACAAAATTGTCAGGTATTTATAATTTTTAGTGAGAACGAAATCATCATTACAGTCATCCAATCCGCATACAGGAACATTCTAGAATATTCTTCCAAGAGGTGATTGGATGGAATATCTTCGGCTCCTTCTGAGCCTCTTACAGGTTCCTTGGGTTCACCCGTGGTCCGTCCTCACAAAATATCCAGTCATTTATTTCAACCAATTTATAAATGAGTTCTTCTGTGTTCATTTTCAGTGAGTAATTTTTACATGGTGGATTAAGCATTACATTCGGATAAAATAATCTTATTGTAACTATACGGGAACTGGTATTGAGTAATGATTATTAAATATCTTAATGCTAAGTGGTTAAAGCATAATACATTGATGACCTTGAGTAACTTATCAGCCAATCAAAAAACTCCTACAAGTTATAAAAATATAACAAAACCAAGTAATGAAATAACAGCTTTGATTGTAGTAACTAACCCTTACAAGTCAAATCATCCCTTGTAATAAAGGAGAAAGGGCAAGTTAAGTTTACAAAATAGGGTTAGCGTTTTCGACACGAACTGACATCAATTGTAAAGCAATACCTTGCCACCTTCCTCTATTGTTATTGTTATTGTGCTGATCAAGCCTATTATACATCATATATTCAGATAAACGAAATAATTAGAACAAATGGAAGTAACTGTTGTTGTTCACATAATAAGCAATAGATTAAATGAAGTGAATGTTATTAAGGACTTCAGATTCACTTATTAACCGTTATTTACCATACAACAGGTTATTATATTCCATTTCTCCTATTAGTATTGTTTGGATTCACCCATACCTGTAGAACTTCAGCTGTTAATCTCTCTTTGTATGAAATAAAACGTTTTTGTAGGATTCTTGTGTCATTATAACCGATCGTATGGCCAGACTCTATTGAATATACAATGTCATTGCTGAACTGTTATCTACATTTTCTCCACATCAAATGTATTATACGCACTACAAGATATCTCGCTTTCAACATTGTTTACAGATTGCCAGGCGAAACGTCGGATCGACTTACAGTTCAATCAGTGAGATTCCTACAAATTTAATTTTCCTCTAAAAATTCCAAGAGTCATATAATTTACAGCACCTTAATTTCCAATTGATTAACAGAGAATCCCAGTGGAACAAGATTAGATTAGTCGATATAAATTATAGATTAGAACTATGCCACGTAAACAAAGCCTATTAATATTAGCTTGAAAGAGGTAATAAATTGAAAGTAGGCCTAATACAAATAATCCATGAGATGAATAAATCACCTTTGAATTATCGATTAAAAGAGCACAACACACCGCATATACATACATATACATGGACGGTACACATGTGTTTCACTGGCCATAATAAAACTACATTTTCTCCGTCAATCAATGACTAAGCCTATAGCAATTTTTTTTAAAAGTAAAGAACATAGACGGTGAAAAGAAACAATGAATAAGTCACTATAAGTATTGTGTGTGCTGTCTATATGTATATGATGACAATGAACGCTATAGTTACAAACAACAAATAACATCTATCAAGTTGAGAAAAAAAGTCTTCATTCATCATAAACGTCGAATTGATTAGTAAAAACCTTTGAAGTAAGTTTTTATTTACTTAATTGTCTGTACAAGTAAAAGGAGAGGAAAATTTATAAGTGTGTGAACTAGAATAGTTAATAGTTGAAAAAAAGGAAGAAAAATTTTGAATTATCCTACATTAAGAGAAGCTTAGAACTATGTTAATTAGTAGAAAGAGAGAAATTCAGTTTATAAAAAAAAGTCAAATAATTCGTCGAAAATTTGAAATCGAAATCGAATTCAGTGGATTGAAAGTAGACTTTAGCAGGTAAGCAAATGGTAAAATTTTTCAGTATCGGTCACCTGTTAGTTCACATATAAAATTATAACCAGTAATAAATAAAGTATTTAAAAGACAAGATCAAAAGGTGGTTGTAAGCCTGTAATTATTAGGAGTTCCAGGATAAAAAAATTGTCTGTAATAGATGAGGTTATACATTATATCTATGTCGATGTGGGAAGCAGAGGTTTATCAAACTTTCTTTCTGTGTACAGAGATCAGGTCAAAAGAGCTTGATGATAATGGTCTCTCCAAAGAGGACTAAATGGGAAATTTGAATGTCTTTATGATATCCATCTTATCTCCACTATCTATTGAATGTTCAATAATAGAACTTATGAACACTCTTATTCCCTTGATAAATTGGTTTCAAGGAAAATATTGAAAAAAATGTTATTTCGGTCTTTTTTATGTGCTTAGTAATAAAACTGCGTTAAAGTCCACAGCTGTTAATGGAGATCATCAAAAAAGGGTACTGATTCAATTTTTATCCAATTAAATAGCATTCCATGTTATAGACCGTAGATAACAGAGAAGCTTTTTTCTTTTGCGAAATTATCTTCACTTTTTTTCCACATAAATTTAATTGTGATTTGACTTAGAAAATGATGTGTTCTTCACACATATTTGTAATTATCAATTCCTTAGTTAACAAGTGAGATGTAGGCCAATTTTAACATAAAACTTTATTTATTGAATTATATGATACAGGCAAGAATTTATATTTCAATAATTTTCATCGCGTCAACTGTAGAGAGATAAAGTGGATTTTAGAAAGAGATTCCTTAGTTACAATCAAAATAATCTCATCTGTCAGTATTATATATTAAAATTACGAATTAATCAATTATACCCAATCGAAGATCTTGAACTAACGTATATTCGACTAAAGTTGCCAAACTTCAGATTGGAAGCACAATAGAAACTCGTCAAGATAAAAGCCAAGTAGGTTGAATTAATAAGAGTACAGATAATAGCAAAATAGCAATTATGAAGAATATAGTCCGGAAGAAATTAATGAAATTGGAAAAAAAAATAAATGTAGGACAATAATATAACTCAAAAATTCGAGAAAGATAGGGAGTGAATACGTCTGTTACTTAATATCACTAATCTTGGGTAGTAATTACAGCAAGAATTTGAATCGTCTATTCCGTTCCTACAGATACGATTAAGTTTAACAGTTGATGACTTTGTGAACTAACTTCACGTCTTAGTTTTTTCCACTCTAAGTCTTCTTCAACCTACTCCAGTGATAATCAACACTAAACGTCAGGATAAGAGATTAGTGGACATAGGGAACGAATAATAAAGATTAGTAGTCTTATCAACCGAACTGTCATCTCCATCGTTTTACTTTTGCTGAAAGATACAAACGTACACATACAGAGGAGTCATTTCAAGCCCAGAAGTCACTTTCCCTTAGAATTTTAAAAGCCAATTTATATTCCTCAGTGATTAAATAATCGATTACACACGGATCAATGAACACGAAAACAAATGAGTAATAGAATGTTTATTTTCCAATTACTGCTTATTACACCAACTAACTTGTAGTTAAACAAACAAAACAATAAAATTTTTCATCATAAATAGTGTATTCCTAAGTTCAGTAATTCATTTAAAGATTAATCGTAATAGGCAATCATAAGTTACGCAGAATACAATAAAAATGTAAGTTTGTGACTACCCACTGATACCGATGATGAATAATAAAATGACGTACTTATATTTAATTAGTCATAACGAAAAACTATGTACAGCATTTAGTGCTTTATTTAATTTTATTGAATAATCGTTCAACTTTTGAAGGAGATGGAAATAAAAAACCATTGAATATGATAATATTTAAGAAAAAGACAATAAAGTAGACCTGAAGCAAAAAAATGGATGGTTCAAAACCGAATAAAATAAATGAAATCCTGGATAACATTCTAAAGAACAAATGTAATTTGAATTTAAATCAAAGTAAGGATCTAGTCTTCCTTAGTACGGAAACATTCGCTGAATTTATTCAAAAAAACAAGAGTACCCCCTTTGGATTCCCGTGATGATCAGTATCAACTTTTAAAATTCAGTTGCCTTAATAAGCTGTGTAATTCACCTATGACTGAAGGGATGTCACGTTGTCATATCTTTAGACTGCTTATTACTATAAGTTTATTTTAGTACCAATAACAAATACATAATTAAAGACATGAATATCAAGCCTTGTGATCGAATTTAAGTCACTATTTAATGACGTGACTATGATGTTTAATTGGTAAGTGAACCCAAAATTTATGAATTTGTTAATTTTTCTAAAGAATTCTGAAATGTACAAAATAATCCACAAGTCAACCTGCTAGAAACTTGAGAACTATTTTTTTTCTTGCATTAAACTTGGAATACTATCGATTTCGCTATCAGTTTACTTAATGCCTTAAATTATAGTGAAAGTATTTATAGGCTTGTTGTTTCATATGTACTTATTCAGCTGAAAACTTAAAGTGGTTGCCGCGCGAAAAACTAAACAAACAATGGATAATGAAATTGACGGAACTTAAATAAACTTAAATAAAACATTTTGGACTTGCAAAATATAAACATATTTATTTATCCAGGTTACGAGCAGTATAACAGTTCGTTAAATCATTTGATGAGTTTGTAAACTCTTATCAAACGAAGTAATTAAAATATGTATCTCGTATGTCATGTCAATTATCATAGATGTAGGCTGAAATGAACCTAAAGCCAATCAGATCAAGATATGTTATTGATCAGATTCAGTTGCAATAATTTAGATGTATACATCTTTCATCTACTTTAAATTCTTGTGGACAGAATTATTCTGTCCTTTTTATAACTAAATTTCATCCATTTATTATTGTTTTATCTTCAACTGTGACAAAATATGAAACTTTGCAAATTAAACTGTTACACAGTTGTAGCTAATTCTATATCGTTTACGTTTGTAGGTTTATTATTATATGAGGCTTTTGACATAATCTATGATAAGATTTTGATATTAAAATATTATGAAAACACAATAACTAATGGGTACTTACCAGCACATATAAGATTGTTTAATTCTGGATTGCCATTTTTATACACAGCACCCAATGCACCACCAGTATCTCGAAAATCCCGTACAGGTGGTCCAAGTATTTTCTCTAATTTATTTTGTTCATTTGATTGTGTTGATAAATTATCAGATGACAAGACAGAGGTTCTTATCCAACCGGTTATTTCACGTATACCATGGAATTTACTTAAAAGAAATGCTTGACAATCACCAACGCTTGCTATTATAACAGAAAATTGAGCTTTGCCATATGCTGAAGTTTGTTCATTTGTTAATCCATGTGATTCATAGGTTGTAGTTGTTAGTACCGGTAAAATTAATGCAACACAAAGAGTAGTAAGACCAGTGGTAATGGAAACAATTTCCTCTTGAGCAAAAGAAAAAGCCTCAAATAATAATTGGGCCGCATCCTGTAATGCAATCACAATAAGAAAAGTGAACACATTAGCAGTGAAAGTGAACTAGATACTATTTATAAGTAAGGACTTCAATAATTCCCATGCTGTCTAGATCTAAATTCCAATCAGTCTTTGTAGGCATACGTGGATCCTGTGTGTATTTCTATGATATAACTATTTAATAATATATTTCAGAGAAAATATGGATTGTGACTAGCATTAAAATCCAGTGAACCTGTTTCGTCTTAGTTAGGACTGGTCAGCTTGATAAACTTGCACTCTAGTGTTGGCGGTCACATCGAGGCTCAAACAAAGCATCGTTCACGTTAAACGTGAATTCTATTGAAAATTTAACCAGTTTACAATATGCCTCTGCAATATGTAAATGAAATAAGTATTTAACCGGTCTGTTAAAAAAAGTGATTTATCTCCTTGAAAACTAAAAAGTTAACCAGAAACTTTCACCGTAATGTTACTGGACAACTAAAACCCCTTTACTTCTTGTGAAATTTTCAGGTTCTTGTCTTAAAATTAATAATCGTCAATCTGTAGACGTTATCTAGTCTTAAAGAAAGGTAACACAAAGCATACACCAATCCATTGTTGAGTCACTTTCGGTTAAAAATGTGACTTACATACGAACTTGATTTTCTCAACGGTTACAGAAACACTAAGATAGTGAGCTTTAAAAGAAACATGAAATTTAAGTTGTGAAGTATTTATATGCTGGTTTAGTAACAGAAACTTAGAACGCTATGTTTTGTGCTTCATTTTCAACCTATATTTTATCACTACTGTTACGGAATATGACCTGTTATCACTTAAATAAGACAGCACATAAAAATCTCTTCAGCTGTTCAAATTGTAAACTGTTTCCCAGTATTACTGAATGTTTCTGGAAGAATAAAGTGATCTGGCTTTCCGTGAAATGTATTTTATTTAGTTACATTTCTTTCGTTAAACGGATTTCTCAAGGTGTATATTATTGACAAAAAGTAGCGTTTATATTTTAACTTGAGACTACATATGTCAATATCATCAAAAGATTTATATAAACTTAAACGTGTAAATAATAAATCTCAATAAATATTTCTGTACTCATAATACTGGAACTGTTATACATATTGATTTCAAATAATACAAGTTCTTACTCTTGTGTCTTTTACGTTGTGTTTCTCTTTCATACAACCAAATAAATGAGATTCTAAATAGGTGTAAATAGCTGAAATCGCTGATCTAGCAGCTTTCATTGATTCGTTGCCCCAATTTACACCATCTGCCACAGCTAAATAGGCAGAATCATGTCGAGCTCGTACAACGAATGCATCAGCAATGGGACCACCTAGAAATTAAATGAAACATAAAACATATTTATTAACAAATAGTTTTGAAGTTTGACAAGTTTAACTACTATGGTGAGTGAGATGGCAGTGAACAAAAAATATTCTTTCTCTTACGAATATAGTCGGCAAAAATCACCTTTTGCAGTTCAGTGATACGGATAAGATGAATGACTCAAGAAAAATGAACAAACAGGAATTTTGTTTGAGTTCTTTTCTCTGTGTTAGGTGGTTTGTTTGCAAAGCTTTCATCGTCATTCTAAACAGTATCAGTGCTTACAATTTATGGAAGTCTTCTACAAATCTTTTCCATACATGATTTTTTGTAGTCAATAGGCTGATATAATATTGATGACTTATCTGGTGTCAGTCAGTATAAGTAAACAAGGATGAAGCAACCAACCAAAAATAATAAATTAAAAACTTGAAGTTTTAGAATTGAAACGATTTAGAAGAATGGAGTTAAAATATCTTCCAATAATTACCGGTCGGTTAGCCTGTTATTTGAAATAGTGTTTGTAGTAAACAGCGTCTTTTATTGCAGCTAATTAATGTTCCTCAGAAGTTAAACTTTGCAAGGAATATGGGTGCCATTGTAAAGTTAGGGGTTAGTTCTAATAACTACACTTTTTCTTTATACATCCAAGCAGTTTTCTGTTACGTTAATAAGTATTTTAAATTAATCTTAATTCACTAATTAATTTCAGTGACGAGTTGTTAGCTTATACATTTGAATTGTGGTGGGTTAGTGATTAAAGCATTCAAAATTCAGCCACTAAGTCCCATGTTAGAACCCTGTTTCATCTACTTCGGCTTAGGTAACTGAGTAGTATCATTACCACTAACACTTAGAGTATGAATCATACACTTGAGCAATTCATGAATCAGTTTATTTAAATTTTAAACATGATATTTACTGTAAAATTAATTATTCCATTTACCATTCGTTTGACAAATTAATAGTCGTGGTGTAAACAGTTTTTTTTTAATTGGTCAGAAATATTTAGCCTAAAACATATTCTCAGAATGGGGTTTTGTGGAGATTGTAGTAATTCCATGGTTGAATCCACACAACCCCCAATTCTGATAATCATCACATGCTCACTAGTAACTGGCTTCAAGAGGTATTTCCTGGAGTTCTAGTGAGAAGCCGTGACCAGTGGAGTTCAACCGCGTCTGTTACGAGGCAGTTACTTACTGAAGACAATGGCGGACGGTTGCGCGATATCGTGGATTTGTTGAGGTTAGACATTAGCACAATAGAATGCCGGCCAGCTCAATGGTCTAGAGGTTAAGCCTTCGCGCGCGAGACTGAAGCTCTTGGGTTCGGGTCCCGCGTACGGGATCGTGAATACATACTGCTGAGGAGCCCCACACTAGAACGAAACGGCCGTCCAGTGCTTTCAGGTTTTCAATGATGGTCTAGCTTAAATCGGCTCATGAATTCAACTATTAAATTATTTAAAATATATGTCAGACTTTATTTAACCACTTAGTAGCTTGATGAGAAATCCATTTCAACAATGAACATTTAATGCTACTGAGTTGTATTTCAGTAGGTGTTATTTGAATTAATCAGTTGTTTAATCTTTAAATTCATAATCAAATAAAAAAATTATGTGAAAATAATACCAATGTGTGTTATTTATCTTTTTAATATGATAGAATTCTTACTTAGATACGATTTTTATTAAATTATTTTGTATCACACTACATACTCGTTTAAGATGTGATAAGTATGTTTAGAAGAACAGTTTAGAACAAAACAAGATCTATGTATGCATGTTTTGCTATGAAATGTAACTAAGCAATAAGACGAAACTAGCCTATCTCTAGAAGATAGTAAATATGTACTGAAATGGTGACATGCTGATAAACAATTATAAGAGAATAAACAAAAATAAATTTGGCACCAAAAATATAAGTAGTCAACAACGTAGGTGTACTAAACAAAAATCAAACTTCATACAACACGTTGGTGTTTGTTTAATAATATGAAAATACAAGAATATAGAGAAGAATTAGTTAAGCGTATTAAAAATGATTGTATCCTTTGATTTTAAATGCTATCTACACATGAGCACTTCCTCAACCGCTGAATTGTATGTTAATAATCAAATAAGCCCGCCAATATTCAACATAAATGGAACAAAAGGCTTTACAGACAAAATATACAAGAGTTTTAAGTTACTCAGGTACTGAATTAAATAAAATCTAACTTTTCAATAAGAATGAGACACTCGTTCCAAAGTTTTATTTTATGTTGAACTGAAGCCAATTAGCAGTATGATATTCTCGGATGAATCTTGTTTGTCAAATTGTTGGGAGTAATTTAAATAGGCTTTTAATTGAGTTTCAGAAGGAAAAGACTGAATATAGCTAATCTTAATGCACGAAGAATACCAAGAGATGTAAGTTTAAAAACACAAATGTATGTTGGCTAACAGTGAAATCCAGGGCGCGTGTTTCGTCTTATGTGGGACTCATCAGCTGAATGTGCCTGCGTCCCAGAGTTCATGTTCAAAAATTAATTAAGAACAAACAGAAGTCTCCTGGATCTTTATTCAAATATAGCTGGACGATCAGTCAATTAAAAATAAATTATGATAAAAAAGCATTGATTAATCATTACCAAAAAAATCACAAATAGCAAAGTAAATAAGTTAAGAAGAATGACCATTTTTAACACACATATAATGTATAACGGAAAGCCTAGTTGACCTGAAGTATTTATTTATAATAAACTAACAAACTGATAAGCAAACCCCCGTTGTGCTTTTTAAGATGATCTGACCTTAGTATTAATAATAGTAAACACGAGAAAATTTTTGAGACACAGCAATACTAAGTATTCCTTCTCAGTACTCAATAAAAAATCGAATACCCATAATAATTATGATTCAGTGGCATTGTGGGTATGAAATGTCTTCATCTTATTCTAATTGTCATAATGAAATATTAGATTGAGCAGTAGAATAATAAACTTTTCAATGACTTTCTCTAAACGGTGAGACATATGACGACTTGAAATATCCCCGCTATCTGCTTCTAGTTTCTACTTCAAGACTGTCCTTATCTGAGGTTAATGTTAGTTTTAGATATTGTTCTTATTAAAAATGCATTTTGTGAGGTTGCTTGGTCTTCGGGTCCCTTTTTTCTTTGTTATTCCCTTTTCAAGATCTCCCCACTGACGCTACTCTCAATGTTCCCTTAGTACATAAAATATCTTCTAGCTAGATACAACCTGCTACATACATCATATTATTATCTAGGAATGATAGTTTTCTCATAACCATACGACTATGGCATTAATTCGTTGCGCAGAAATAATTTATAGATTTCGCAATCCATTTAAATTCCAAAAGTGGGCTAATATCTCAACGTTGCAAAAATAAAACATGATTTAAAATATTTAACAGTAGACTGATGATTTGACTATTATAGCAACAGTTAAAGTATTCTATATCCTTAACCTATGATTTCACAACACTATACAGTCATATTAAGGTACCAAAATACTTGATCGTCTGGAGCCTCTCTACAGTTACTTCCGATCTAAGTCTGAACAGAGAAAGGATTGGGGATGGAGTAAGCGACCTCACCTTGTAAAATAGAACCTCGATAACAAGACGCTAACCGTAAAAAAGATGAACTAAGGTACTTGTAAACGGTTTTGTGGAAATCGGCTTTGATTTTCATAAATTACATGACCCCCTGTAAGCAAATGTTAATGAGTTCTCAGACAAGAAATGGTAGGGATAAGACTAAGAATCTTTACGATGCGTTAGTCAAAAATATTTTACGTACCATTTGGTTTTCCAGTAAATATATTTTTCTCGTATAGAGAAACAGATATCCCATGTGCTTTTCGATTCTCTATTGTCTTCCAGTAGTTGGAATGGTCTGTAAAAAGTCAAAAATGATATACATATGGTACCAAAATTGTCCTTTGGTCTTTAAGTAACATACAAGAAGTAAATATAAGTTGGTATAGTAGACTGGTGTTTAAAAAACCTTTAACTGTCGGAAATCGCTTGAAATATATCTACATTTAATTATAAGGCTGTTCTTTACAGTATCAAAAGTACCGACAATTTACATACCCGTTAAAATCAGCCGTCTAAGTTTCACGCAAGCTGAAACTTATTTATATGAATATGCTTTACTGCAACGTTCCAGTGAAGCTGATTTCGAATTCCTATGTACCAAGTGTCACACTCAAAATTACTGATCTATCTTTCCAATTGTTGTTTCTTGAAGTTACATAGATGCTGTACACAGTTACGTTCATTAGTTTCAACTATTTGATCATGGAATACAAAGGTTAACCTACAAATAACTTTACATCCAGTCTCATGCTAGTAGTCCCCCACCTAGTTGTTTGAACCCCAGTACAAGAAGAAGTCTGTTGCTGAAGTACTTTATATATGACGAAAGTAAAAATGAAACTGGATAAGGGATTAAGTTTAACTTGTTACAATCGGCATATTTTAATACCTCAAAATCAAACACTTTTAATGGACAACTTGTTGAACAAATCTAATGAAAAATAGTTAGTTATTAAGATTTGTATGTCTCCCACAATTTATGACATTAAAGCATGCAATAACTCTCTCTGTGTCACAATCTGGATATATAGTAAATTTATCTGCTTTTTAAGCATTATTTAAGATCCTCGAATCCGTTTGGGTTTTAGGATTGACTGAAGAATCGTTCTGTGCAACACAAAAATTCAAAAGTATTCACGTATAAATTATGTCGCTTTGATTCCATTTTGCCAAGTGACTGCAGATAGCATCAGAGCACGATTTGAATACTAATTTTTCATTTTAGGTCTTTATCACAGTTATGTATACGCTAAAACTTATCGGATAAACATATTACTTGTTCACATGGCTCGCAAGATAAAACCTGATGAACTTAATCACGAACTGATTAATCAGATACTTAAAGGTAGACCTAGGAAAAATGTAAAATTACTAGAAATGCTTCTCTTTTATCCTACTATATCTGTTTTACAATTTATGTGAACAGATTAAAATTTTCGGTCTAACTAGTTTTCTACTACAGCTTATAGCAATTTTTCTTTGAATTATATCACTGGAATCAAGGCACTGAGTTGAAGTTTTGCTCTAAACTAATTTTCATCCTTTATTCATTTTGGCGTCTTGTAGCGAGCACAAAACGGATACTAGATCTATTACGAAAGTTTCTATAATCAAATCTAAGAGTTCATGTATCACATTGGAAAACGCCTTTAATATTGTACAAATGTTTTAAGCAACTATGAGATACGACGACTACAAACACTTACAGACATTGTGGCTGTCCTTTGACCCATGCCACTTTTTCACCGCTAACAAGCCCTTTTTGGGGCCTGTAGAGGAAGCAAAGACTTTATTAGACAAACTGTAAACAGGTATTAAGGGATAAACAGCTGCATTAGGTAACTCTTGAGGACAAAGAGAACGCCAAACATCACATTTTGAAGCTGGATGATGAAACTGATCTTCTAACTGATACAGCTTTGGGGCAATATACTGCCATCCATGAGTTTCCGAAATCGACCCTCGACCACGTCTCAAACCAAAAAAACTATCCCGTAAACTCCATGATTTGGTTATTTTGGGTCCATGTGAATCCACAGAAAATTGACCGATGGATTTAGAGGACCTAAATAGAGTTTTGAATAAATTATTAAAACAACTCATAGATCATGTTTAATTGACAATATGTAAGCCACTTCTTTAGAGCAAAGTGTTTTACACTGAGTCATAAAGCGTCAGAAATATTATTTTTCTACTCATTGGAACGTAACAAAAAATATATGAATTAGTTTAACGGTTTTAATAAAAAATGGATTTAAATACTGACAATGTTGACGGGCAAACAGCTAAGCTCTGTGAAATTAACATTTTACTTTTTAAAGCTGATTATTTTGTTTGTCTAGAAAGGCTTTCTGATGCAAGCGTTGTATAATAGTTTATAAACGAAGAGAAATATTTACATTTCACACAACACCGTAAAGGTTCCTTAACTTTTCGAATAAAAGGAAGTGATAACTTTGGATAGACATGAAGCAAAAATGTATTTGATACCGACGTAAAAATATGCAAGTGAGTATATTTGTTCCAGTATAGTTATTGAAAAGCTTTGGCTCGAAATTTTGAACCTGCAGCCACTGAAGCCCTATTAACCCAAGCTACCAACTTGTAGCTCCTGAATGATCAAACACAGTTTGTGACCGCAGTGGTGTGATTCATCTTTAGGCTTGAACATTCCAATACTAAACTCCACATACCACAAACGTTTGGGCTATTTACGTTTAGCATATAATCCAGTCAACTTAGTTAACATACGTTTACAACAGTATTGATTACTTGACATTTCGCCACATAATCATTATGCTATCCAATCAACGCTTCAACATTAAGTTGAATAGATCACATTGTAAACATCTATAAATTAACCAGACTGCTTGTATTGAGCCCAAACCCTTAACAATTTTACTACTTAGGAAAGTGACGACACAATACAATTCACAAGTGTGACAAAAAGACCTTTGTTAATATTAGTGTACTTAGAATACGCAACTACCATTGAAACAGATTAATGGAACACACACATTTTTGACTATGGATATAGTTCATAAAGGCAAAAAGGTAAAAAAATCTAGGTGAGAAAAGAGCAAGGATTCCAATACATACAGGAAAGATATACGTAAACATAAATACAGATAAAGAGTGGTAGGAAACAGTTTATTTCGGATTCTACATAACAACTCATTGGAATTTGTAGTTTGGATCTAGATTGGTAATCATAAAACAAACCACGAAGTAATTCATTGAATTCATTCTTGCCATGTACAGACGCAAAACAGGCCGGTTGATAAAAATGTATTCCAATTTTAGTGATACACAATAAATCAGTCTCAAAAACAACGAAAACTAAATGAGAAGGTGAATTGCGCGTCGAATGAAGTCACGTTATCACATCAAAGTGATGTGCCGCGACAACCCTCACGAAAGGTTTGAATTAAAAGCGGTGCAACTAAAATGTCGAAGGGTGTTTCAGGAAAATTATCGAAATATTATAAACACATTTATCACCTGTGACACCTTGAGGGTTTCTATGTTTGGAGTTTCAATGACCTAGGATTAATCAATCACTTGCTGGAAATGGCTTTTACATCAGAACCGGTGACTGCGTACTAACGCATATGCTTATTGCATGTTAGTCCCGATAATACTCTTCCTGGTTTCCGAGATGCTACTAAACTATCCCTCACGAAGTTTTGTAGTGTAGAAAGAAATAATTGTCTTCACACATTGCTCCTAGAAATACATGAACTTTGAAGCTATCAACAACAGTGGTTTGTGATCAGATTAAAGAACAGAATGATATTTCTGTTGACATATCAACAACTGGAACTTAAATGTCAGTCACATAAATATAAACACTCTGTTCTGATTGAATTCGTTAATTTAGACTGAAAACAACCTTTTTTGTTTTATTAAGGACACCATATGTATATATCACCTCATACCTTCCGTACTAGTCTAAAACCAAGTGGAAAATAGTCTCTAGTCTAAATGATGGTATTTGATAACAAACTGAATTCCTTCCCAACATCATATTCCATGCTTGTGTCTTCGTAACTTAGTTATCAAACACTTAACATAAAACGACTTACTCCTTATATCTAGTGGACAACATTATCAAGTAACAGTAGTTTACAAATTCATTGTGTCGTTTCAGCACAAGGACACATGTGGTAATTTCTTAGCGTGGAAAAACAATTGAGCTCGAAATTTTCGGATTTAAGGAAGAAAGGTCAATCGACTCCCACTTGAGCAGGTTTGAATCTAGCCAGAAAGTGCATTTTGTGCTGGAGGAGCATGGAGAGTAGCGTCAGTGTGGAGGTCTGGAAAACGGAATAACGAAAAATTAGGTGACCAGACGCCCCAGTAACCTTACAAAATGCATTATTAATAAGGAAAGCAATCGATAATAACTAAAAAATAACATAAACTTGAGATAAGGATAATGCTGCGGTCGAAAGTAGATAATGAATCAACCAGTTACATCGTAAGTCTCGAAATTTGTAGAACTGATAAGACTTAATTTCATTATGAGTGATTTATTACAATGTATCAACAAGTTTGGTTTAACCGATCATTTCTATATTTTAACGTTCTGTGCGGTGAACAACTGTTCAAGTACAAATCACGTGACTTCTTTTTTGAGATCTCTTGGAATATCTCCTAGGCAAATCACCACTCAACAGTAAAACAGTATTAGATTACATCCTAGTTAATTGAAACATTGCCGATTTCGGTTGAAGCATCTCAGTTCATCTTCATGACCTATCACAACCTCAGCGCCTTGTCGATGACGCCTTTCAAGCCGCTCCGCATAAGTTGAGTACTGTATTCTAGATATTTCTCAGTCGGAGGACCAGATAACTCCCTTATAGGGATTTCAAATCACTGTTTGCAATGATTCCTAAATCATTACAAACTTTGGCCTGTGGCAAAGACGTTCTATTTGCTACTTTGTCACAGGAGCCGTATTTATGCCCGTTCGCTTTGGTACAACCGTGCCAGAGTCTGATTCTGATGGCCATCGAGTTGTCGACTCAACCGGGACACTCAAATCTTTCTGTTAGCTCATTAAATCAGTAAAACTATGCATAAGTCTACTCAAGTAATACTTACGTCCCGACATTAATACTGTTTCACGTTGAAACTGACCGTGTTATCTATACTGAAAACGTTGAGTGGCTGGAAGGCTTTTTCGTTAGGCATCATATACCAATATTGTTCGTCTCAACAACATAATTTTCAGACTGTTCTAGTTCAGTTGTATCATCAAGTATTAGAACAGACTATTTTGGAGCTCTTTAAAGGTCATTTTAGTGAGACGAAAAAGAAACAGGCTAACGATTGTCCGTTTGCGATATCCGCTCATTATAATTATGCATAATGAAGAGTACAACTTAATCAAAAACCACTTCTAATTCTGATTAAGCAGCATCTATTTCTCGAACGTTTATCACCAGTTATATTGACTGAACCAAATAATATGACTATCTAATCATCTCGTGCTTTTGATGTCTCATAGGGGAATCGAACAGCGTTTCCATTTATTCTGCAATTATGTCCATCTGGTATTCCATAAATCGTAAGACGATGTGCTTTCATTGAAAAGAGAATTCGTCGATAATACGCCAAAAAATAAAGTACGCTGACCTCTCGCCGTCGTTAGCTGAAACATTTCATTTTAATGCTTCGGTACGATTTCGGTTTGTTCAATTGTCGTCAAAACTTGAACTGCAGATTTAGTAATAACATTGGTACTGGTTTGCAGAATTATGGTCTACATGGGTATCATTATACTTATCTACTCTACTAAAATAATTCGCCAGGTACCAAAACAGTGTTTTTACTATCGTGTGGCTGCCCAATTATGTGGAAGCCACATTATTGTCTATACTGCCCCATCCCATCGTGAAAACTTGTGGTTGCACCTGAAGAACACATCTGGGCTGTGGATGCAACGATATATTTGATATGCGGGAGAATAAGTGACAGAATGACCACGCCTTCATGAATGGACTGTGAAATACCAAACATGTGTTTCCGCATTTAGCATTTTCGATGTTCTTTAGGTGTTAAATTTTAAATTTTGAGGATGAGTTACTTGATTTAGTGTAACTAGCTAATTCAAATGATTTTACGACAAAACCACGTCATTGACCAGAATGATCCGCCATATCGTGACGATCAGCTGTATAACATTTAAGAATTTTCGAAGAACAAATTCCGGTCTCTTAATGATAAAATATTTAATATAAACAGTTATTACGCCTACATAGCCGAACTATTTAGTCTCCATGGAGTTCTCGGGTTTACCTTAATTATTTTTTGTCAGTACCCAATGGAAAACACGAGTTCTCCGAAGGTAATTTCAGTTTCAAGAATGGCCTGAGATGATAGTTGAGGTTTATTCCATCATCACTATAAAATATAATAAATGTGAGTGGCTGTATTCCATCGCTCTAAACACGGAGTAAAAGCCTTCAGATCCGCTCTGAAAGGCCTAGACCTAGACAATATAAGGACGAAAAATATTCCTACTATCATATGTAAACACACACAAGGGGAGTCCAATGGTTTACTATGCCACAGGCAATCGGAGTTTCACAATGCCTTCACACAAAACACCTTTCTAATCGAAGTAGCCTAAGTCAGTAGAATTAGAAGTCATAAATGAGGTGGTTGGAAGATATATTTGAAAGGCTCCCGATATATTGGGAAGTTTTTAAGATAAGCTAGTCAACAGTTGCAAGGGATGTGCAGCAAGGTGTGATTACCCGTGATCTGGTGCTGATGACTGACAGAACACTTTCAGCTAGAAGAGTCCAGTAAAATTGTTTAGATCGGTATCAATATCAAAGACCTACAGAACTACTTATTTTTAGGATTCATTTCTCGCTACAGTTTCATGAACATGCTGCCATAAAGACTATGTATTGGCACTGGGCCCTAGCCACACAATCCTCAAAGCTGGACACCAGATAATTGAGAAAAAAGATATTTAACATTTAACGTGGAGAAAAACCTAACGATGGAGAAGGCGGGAACAGGGAGCTGAATTCATCTGCATTGATCGGATGGCGTGGCTCGGCCTTTCAGACTTGGCTGTCCTTGAATGTTGTTATATACCTTTTACTCGTATTAAATACATTGTTCTATCCCTAGCCAAAGCTTGTTCTCAACCCTGTATTGGTGACTGTTACGACTCGATCAGTTGGTGTAGACGATAATATGACGTCCACGTAAGATCCTATAGATTAGGCTGTTATATCGTTACAAATCTACAATTTTGTGATTAGGTCTATTATTAGAGCAGTACTAGTATCATAGTAGACCATAATTCTACAACTATTCGAAGACAGGGATGTGGGACTAGGAACAGTCGAAGTTAGACGGTCGAGTTAGCCGACAATCTGTTAGTAAAATAAAGTTATTATAGTTAGCATATCCGTTTATTGTAGTATTTCCTGAAGTCACTTCATCCACTATTTTCTTAAATGTAATGATGAAATATTGGTGTTTAGGTAACTGTTTGCTGAGTTTCACTTGCTCATTATGACATTTAATTGATGTATGTACAACAAGCCTAACATAGAATGAAGAGGAGGACTGATCTTTTTAATTGATATTAGTCCCATTTCAGTCACGTTAACAATCTGTGAAGAAGCACATTGGAGACGAGACCATTCAGGATGAAGGATCAGTTCGACATAGAGTGGACAAAAGACCCATATTGTCTAAATGGCTTAATACAACTGTCACCGAACCAATGATTCATGATACGAAGTCTCCAGTGAAGGTGAATAGAAGGCTCATTTTTATAAGTAGACAAGACTGGTACCTTATGATCAGAAAGAAGGTAAGACCACAGTCGAGAACTTACTATAAGCCACAAAAGAATATCAAAATGGTGTCGAAATACACTTTCTGTTACCATCGTGCTTCACAATATAGGAATATATCATCACATAATTAGGAGGGTGTATATGTAGTATTATGGTCTACTATGATATCAGTACTGCTCTAATAATAGACCTAATCCTAAATTTGTAGATTTGTCATGATATAACTGCCTGATCTATAAGATCTTACGTGGAAGTCACACCATCGACTACACCAACTCACTGTATCGTATCAATTACCAATACATGATGTAGAACAAGGTTAGGCTAGAGAAAGAACAATATATTTAATATGAATAGAAGATATAAGGTAACATTCAGCAGAGACCACGCCTGCATGGCCGAGCCATGCCACTCGATCAACTCCAGTCCATTCAATTCATTCTCTGCGCCTTCTCCATTGTTAGGTATTTCTCCGAGTTAAATATTGAATATCTATTTTCTGAGTAGTCTTGTGTTCAGCTTTGAAGATTGTGTGGTTATGGTCCAATGCCACTACATATAAATCGCTGAAAGCCTCTGAGATGACACAGCTTCATTTGTTGGAAAATTGTACTGTTCAACAACATGAGAATTCACTGATCAATGTGGCAGTAGTACGACTGACAAAAGTAGACTGAAATTTATGAAGTGCTGATAGACGCCGTTAGTTAACACGCCACACACCGTTAATTTTGCAACCTTAACACTTTCTTCATGTTAATATTATGTTCATTCACAAATAATTTATGCTTACATGAGATTTTTGATTAAACCATTCCGAGTTTCATCACAAATGCAAATAATCACAATATTCAACAACTTTTAGATAATATCCACTATATTTAAACACGTTCTGTCATATTTAAACATATACTACGATGAAATTGAAGGAAGATAAAAACAGAAACAGCGAAGGGTGTGCATATAATTTGATAGAAGTTTTTGTGATGAAGAATAATATTAAACGGTGTTATGTATATTACATATATTGGGTTTTAAATGTCATTGTTGTGGTAAGATTTATTGGTGGAATAAGAAATTAAGCAGTATGGATTTAGGAATGTGCGATGGGAGTCTAAATCAAAAGCTAAGAAGGATCGCCAAATGTCAGTTTGTGTGGGTTTCATATAAGTGCTGGGAATAAATTTATAAACAAACTGGCTTACTTTGTGGTTTTATTTCAGAATGCACCAGATTTGGCACGGAAGTTTCGGATCTGCGACTGTTTGATTCAGTGACATTTGTATCATGTCGTTCAGATAAGACAGATTTTGCTTCCATGTTATG